GAGTCCCTTGGCACCCAGGCTCCTGATATTGTTTTGTTTGGGGTTTTGCTCCTCCTAATGGCTCCCTGGGTAAGTCCTGTCCTCACTGACTTCTCGGTGCATGAAATGATGCCCTGAGCTCATCTCCAGCTGCATAAGTTATTTATAGACATTAACAAGGTCTCCTCTCAGCCTTCTCCTCTCCAGCCTAGACAGTACCAGCTCTCTCAACCTTTCCTCATAAGAGAGATGCTCCAATCCACCAGTCATCTTTGTTGCCCTCTCCAGCTGGACTTTCTCCAGTAGTTCCCTTTCTCACTCGAACTGAGGAACCCAGAACTGAACACAATATTCCAGACATGGCCTTGCCAGGACAGAGTAGAGGAAGAGGATGACCTTCTTCAACCTATTGGCCACAGTCTTCCTGATGCTTCCTATTGGCCTTCTTGGCCACAAGGACAAAATGCTGGCTCACTTATTGTCTACTAGGATTTCAAGATCCTTCTCCTCCGAGCTGCTTTGCAGAAGGTCAACCCCTAAGGTCCCTTCCAACACAAACCATTATATGATTGTATGAAAGTCTCTCCACTTGATTGTGAGCAGTGTCCTTGCATCCTTTGTGCTGAGGCCAGTGCTCACAGTCCTAAACAATTCCTCAAAGGCTCTCTTCAGGAGTGAACACAGTGGGATCTATCCTCAGTAAGTATTTGGGATACAGCCACCTTGTCTGGATTTTAACAGCATGGCTGTGGTCAGACCATACTAGTTGGCTTCCAGGCCTGAGAACGAGCTGTTTAGTTTACAAGTAGAGATGTAGCTCTGGGGGTGGGGATTGAATTTATTCCTGGTCTGGTGGCTCATAAACAAAACTGCAGAAGGAAAAGGAGGAAGGAAAATTCCCCTCAAGAGGCTCAGCAGGTGGCCCTGGTATTTCTACAAGAGACCTTTCTGATACCTGGGCACCTGCAGCAAGACAGTCAACCAGAGCAGCCTTGGGGTTGCTCTAGCTTGTGACACAGCCCCCCTCCTCCAGACAAAGCCTCCACAGACTTTGGAATTGCCCCTTTACAGCATTGTCAGTCTCACAGCAAAGTGAAGCAGCCACCTTAGAAGGCTGAAGGGTTGGGAGGGAAGCCTGGCTCAGCTCCAGCTCCTTCTCTGCAGCAGTCAGGAAGCCCTTTGCAATCCTGAGCTCAAAGCCTAAACCGAGAGCTGACATGAGCATAAGGAAAATTAATCCTAGCCAAGAAAAGCTTTTCTCATTCCTGCACCATCAGGGCACCCTGGAGAACCTTTGCTTGGTGCTCTCAGCCAGCACCTGGACTCCAGCTTGGCTGCCTGGAGAGGATTAAGTCATGTTTCTACAAATCTCAGAACGAATCTTTCTCTCCTGAAATTTGGCAGCATTGTGGCCTTTTACCTTCTTTGAAAAAAACATCATTTCCTTGCAGATCTCAGATCTGCTGTGCCCCCAGCAGAGCAATGCCACTCAGCAGGTTTTTCTTCTCCCATGTGAGTTGCAGTGAAAAGATATTAATTTTCTTGATACTTTTCCCTACTTCACAACAAATGCTGAGACTTGATATTTTATCAGGAAGGCAATCGTGGGTGTTATTGAACTGACCCTTGGTTGTTCTTTCTTGTCAGTTCATCAAGCTACATAAGAAATGTCAACAAATGCTTTCATTAAATGCTTTGAGAAATGTGAGATTAAAGAACCAAGACCTAAAAGAGTTTTAAATTAATAACAAGGCATTTGCAAAGAGGGATGTTACTTGGAGATTGCTGTTTTATCCCTACAAGCCAACTTTTTGGCCAGTTCTGGCTTTCCCTTTCTTTGGAGGAAGCTGTCTTGCTTTTGTGCAAGCTGGAATCCTATAGGACGTGTCCTTCAGGTGCTCAGTGTCCAGTCCCCTTCCTTCCCTCCATGAGACCTGCAGACCCCCTCATTTACCAAGCCAGCCACAGGGCCTCCTGGCCCATCTGTGTGGTGAGGGCCACGTGGCACTGGGCAAACGCACCACCCGTCTACATTGATCACCAAGGCTTTGACATCATCTTGGACACAGCACACCTGCCTGTGTTCTGGGGCTGAACAGAGAAGCAGCAGTGACTGCCATATGTGCACCATCAGCCAAGGCTGTCCCAGGGGGATAAAGCCATCTCCTGTTCTCCAGGAAGGAAAGGTGGATGGGAGAGGAACAAAGCCCAGCAATGAAGGACTAAAGGATGATGTGTGCAATGAGGAGATGTCACGGGGTCTGAAGACTGTCATTTCTTCCATCCCCTGGGAGCTCACCTTGGCTTCCTGAGGTCTCAGGAGCACTTTGTGTGGTGACAGCTCCCATTTAGACAGGTCTGTTGTGGATGACTGGGTGGGGAGCAGGGCATGAAAGGCTCCATTGTGGGTAGGAAGGGTGGGCTGCTCTGCAGGGCATTGCTCTTCCTGCTTCTCCCTCCAGCTTGGCTCAAGATGTACACAGCCTGTCCTCTCTCCATGGACTTGTCCCTTCAAAACTTGCCTTGGTCAAAGCCACTCAATATTGGCAGAATTTGGGTCAGAACCTAGAAACCCTCATTCTTCTTCCCTTTCCGAGGGGTTTGTCCTGAGTAATAGATACATTCACTCTGTGACACACTGAGGACCTAACCATCATTAGAAATGGTCAGTGATCTCTTTTTAAAAGCAGCATAGTAGGGTCATCAAAGGTCCACAAAACTCCCTGGAAAGAAATAACAGGACTACAGGGGCCACATCATTGGATGCTGTGGGTTTTCTGCTTACACAGGGCAAGTCACTGCAAAGTACCCCCATGCACCAGTTTGTCTGTGTGGGACAACATCATGAGCCCACACCCTGTGTAATGTCCTAGAGAAACCCCACAGGTAGCACCCACCAGAAGATTAGTATTTTACTTCCTTCAAGCCTCACGTGTCAAATGCAGGAACAGCCTCAGGTATGTCTTGCTCACACAAACTGCCCAACTCTAGCAGGCAAGAAGGTGCCTTTCATCTGCATGGCTAGAACATGCTGCTGGGGTGGACAAGATGCTGGTTTGAACTTCCTGCAGAGGGAGAGGGACCCAAACCCAGGTCCTTCCTGGCACAGCTACTGCAGCTTCTAGGCTGAATCACAAACCTGGACCACAGAGGCTCAAACCCTGGAAGGATATTCTGTTTGGATTTTTGCCTCAAAGTCTCCATATGGTGTCTAATATGGGGGAGTGAGAGAAAGTTTTGGATGCATCTTGCCAACTGTCCAGTTTAGGTGGCTTAGTAGCTCAACTTGCCCTCAAGTTTGCCTTAAACATATGGTCACTGAGAGGAAGACCAATAATGTTACCTTTGCCAGTGGTCCATCTCCCTGCAATGCAACAGGGGGTTGTATCTGCAGAGAGAGCTTCATGGCATGGAGGTGTGAAACTCCTTGGGACCTCTTCCCAAAAGTGAAGTGTCCCATGGATAGCCTCCCAGTCTGTGGTCCATGAAGCCCAGGGTAATGGGCTGCAGAGAAGTGGCTACTCCCATGGTGCTGGTCCTTTTTATTTTAATTGTAGATGTGGTGCTGAGGGACATGGTTTAGTGGTGGACTTGACAGTGTTAGGTTAACAGTTGGACTTGATGCTCTTGAAGATCTTTTCCAACCAAAACAATTCTATGATTCTATGATTTCCAAAAGATCAAAAGAAGTTTAAACTGGTGCTTTCCTAACTAAGCGGATTCAAACATAAAACAAAGCACAGGCTGATTAGTCAGTCAGACCCTTGCCAAACACTTCAGATAAGTCAGTTAAGTCTATGCTTTAGTTTGAGGCTTCATCTTCAAAGGTGTTCAGATGACACCCTGTTGTGGTTAATTTTGGATGCTCATGCCCTTGTGGTGCAACCCACAGCCCCAAACAAGGTATCTGATTTTCTGCAGTGCCT